GCCGCGGCCCGCGGGACCCCCCTACCTTGCGCCGCTGCTCCTCTTCCTCCTGCATGCGGAGCTGCAGCTTGCGCACCATCACCTGCCGCTTCCACTCCGGGATGGGCCGGCCCTGCTCATCGTGGCTCGGCACCAGCACCTCCGCCTCCACCGGCGCCCCAGCACCTGCTGCCAGCACCGGCGAGCTCCCGTTCAGCACCAGCTCCGGCGAGCCCCCTGCCAGGCAGCGTGGCGGCCCGGCAGCCTCAGGGGTGGCCGGCGGGGTGGGCGTCCTGGTGGGTGACGGGGAGGATGCCGGCGACTCTGCCTGCAGAAAAAGGAGGGAGGGAGGGCAGTGGGCACCTGCTGTTCCACGCCACACTGTGCCACCGGCTCCCGTGCCCCCCCCCTCAGCCACCTACGTTGGCCCCTGCCTGGCCACTGCCGGAGAAGACGGTGGTGAACCCTTTGCTCTGGGGCGTTGGCTTGAGGCTCTTCCCAGCCTTTATCTCAGCCAGCAGCTCTGAGTTGTCACCGGTGGGGGACATCATGTTGAAGGACTTGGTGCCTGGGGGGAGGCAGGGTGGGTAGTAAGAACCCCGCTGCTGGCGGCCCCCTGCCCCTCCAGCTCCCCTGCCAGCTTGTGGGGCATGGAGGTGGCCAGCTGACTGCCCCCCGCACCAGGGAGCCCCTGGGACACCTGTCAGGGCAGCATCCCAGCATCCAGTCCCCCCCCCCAGGTCCACGGGACCCTGCAGGACCAGCACCCCAGCACCCAGCTCACCAGGTCTACAGGCACAGCACCCAACTCCCTGGGTGCCCAGGACCCCACTGGAGCAGCACCCCAGCACTCAGCAGCCTGGCACCCAGCCCCCAAGGTCCGTGGGACCTGCTGGAGCAGCACCCCAGCACCCAGCTCCTGGGGCCCTAGCCCTGAGTGTCCCCCACCCCGCCACACTGTGCTGCGGCAGCAGCGATCTGACTGTGGAGCGATGGGTCCGCGGCTGGCAGCAGCCCCGGCACAGCAGGACGGCCCCGTGCCGCCTCGCCGGGGGCCCTGGGAACCCCTACACTCCCCCGCAGCGACACACCGACAGCCTGCGCCAGCCCTGCTGCCAGCCCTGAGCCCCAAGAGCTGCACAGCACCGGCACCGGAGCATGGCAGTGCCCCCGGGGATGCCCGCACCGCTGCTCACGCCGCCCACCCCGCGAGCACCCACCGTCCGTGCCAGCCATGCGC